GATAGGTCTTGACCCTCCTGTGGTCAAGGATGTGTGTGTGAGCGTGTGTGTCAGGGACTTCTGTGAATGTACAGTAATACCCCGCTTTATGAGGTTCTCGTTTATGCGTTTCTACATTTACGCGGTACCCCGCCAGAACTGGAATTCCCACTTTACGCGGTGCATCTACTCATATACACGGAGAACGGCTGGCGGTCCTGCAGCGCCGCCATTTTTGGATTCAAACCTCCCGCCATGTTGGGCATGCTGCGCGAGTAGGTTGCGCAGTGGATGCCTCTGTTACGTTATCGCTGACGTCATATGATGTATCGGACTGTGATTGGGCCACGCATCCTTACCTCCCTCCGCCGCTAGCTGTGATTGGTTTAATGTAATATGACGTGCCCTGCCGCGGGAGGGATGAAGCCGCTTGACCTAGCTGCGTCAGTTACATCCCTCCCGGCCACACCGTGTATACCGGTATCTATTGTTCCATAAGAATGGCTGCCACCGGACCACCACCACCACACGGTGGACACACGGTCGGTTCAGGAGTACGCATGTGAACTGTACGCAGCAGTGTCACGTAAGATGGGAATTGCAGAGCCCAAACCCTTCAATGCTTCCTCTGGGTGGCTGCACAGGTTTAAGAAGAGGAACAAGATCACCAACATTAACATTGGTGGTGAAGAAGCGAGTGCTAACTGTGTTGCGGCTAGGGATTTTCCTCAGTTCTTACGTGAGATTATGGAGGAAGGACAGTACACCGACGACCAGGTTTTCAACATGGATGAATCCGGTCTGTTTTGGAAAAAGCTACCTTCCAAGACCTTCGTTGTCAAGTCTGCCAGCAAGTGTCGGGGCCGGAAGTTGCAGAAGGAGCGCATCACCGTCCTCTTTACCACCAATGCCTCCGGTTCCTGTAAACTCAAGTTATCGGTGATCCACACAGCCCGCAAGCCACACGCCTCCAAGAACATGGACATGACCAAGCTAAATGTCCACTGGCTGACCACACATAAGGCGTGGATGTTCTCTGTTTCGTTCCCGACGTGAAGAAATTCTGTGAGCAACAGAATGTTCCATTCAAGATTTTGTTGCTCCTTGACAACGCACCAGGACACTCGCCCCTACTGTTGGATCATCACCCCAACGTAAAAGTGGTCTTCCTTCCTCCCAACACTATGTCATTAATCCAGCCCATGGACCAAGAATTAATCTGCAATGTGAAAGCTGCATTCTCTGCCAAGAAGTTTAAGCTCCTGAACAACTGTACCAACACCAAGGATGAGTTGCGTAACCTGGGTGACACCGATAGCAAGAGCGACGAGGACGAGGAACAACAGATGGCAGAGCAAGAAGTTCTTGTGAAACACTTTTGGAGGAAATTTAATGTCAAGAAAGCTGTGGACTTCTTGGTGGAGGCATGGGATCAGCTGTCTGTAGCAACGGTTCGTCACGCATGGAGACATGTGTTGCAAGGTATCCCAGGTGGGAGGCAGAGTCAACCTGTGACTGGTGAGGTTCAGACGGTTGCAGTAGCAGTGGACCTTGCCAGAGAAGCTGTGCAGTGTTACAGCTGCAGGCTTCTCCGAGACCACCAACGAAGACATCCTGGAGGTGATTAGGGATCCTGAGGTGACTGCCGACGAGACGTTAGAAGACGATCATGTCAGTGAAGAGGCAGGTGGTGCGTCATCCCGAGAAGAACACAAGTTAACACATGGTAATGTAAGGGGTGCCATCGAGTGTGCAGAGAAACTGAAGCTCATCCTTTCCGACGACCCTGACGATAACCAGTATGAAGTCTTCACTACCCAGCTGTTGCAGACTATGGAGCCCTACATCAAGGTGTACCACGACAACATCAACACTAGCCGTCAACAAAGCATTACTGAGTTCTTCGCCCGCAACCCACCACAGCCAGCCCAAGCCAGTGATAGTGACAGAGACAGTGATGGTGACTTTGAGGGATTTGTCAGGAAGGCCCTGACAAATGTGGAGGACAGTGATGTGACTCACCTGCCCTCTGCCTCGGAACCAGCCGCCATTTCCATACTCCGACCCATCTCTATTACTAACGTAAGTGTTAAACCTAACCATGATTTTTCCTAACATAACCTAACCTTACGTAAGTGTTAAACCTTGATTTTTCCTAACATAACCTAACCTTAGGTAAGTGCTAAACCTTGATTTTCAAAACATAACCTAACCTTGCGTAAGTGTTAAACCTTGATTTTTTCTAACCTAACCTAACCTGACGTAAGTGTTAAACCTTGATTTTTCTTTTCCCTGGTACAGTATATTATTCTCTTATTGATATTTCTCTTCTATATTATGTGTGTGTGCATACCATCATAAAGTTAAGAAGTTATTTTTACTAAAATGTATGTATTTTGTCGGGAAAAAGTGGAGTTTGGGGGTCGGCCCAGTCTCTATTTCAATTAATCCCATATGTTCTGTTGTTCCATTTACACGTTTCCCGTTTTATGCGGGCCTCCGTGGATTCAACTGACCGCGTAAAGCGGGGTATTGCTGTATACACTGCAAAGTGTACTTATGTGTATGAATGTAGTATGTATGAACTTCAGCATGCTTTAAAATGTATTTTTGTTTGTATGGAGTATGCAAATTTAATAGCATTATTTTCTTGTTTGTGTTTTGGCAATAGCCCGTATGTGCATACAGAATTTAGACTTGCAGAAAAACATATACAGTAGTACAGTACGTACTTGTACTTTATGCTTCAGATACACACAACCATACCACTAAACTCATCTGAGTAACAATAAACTTAAATTTCATTAAACAGTATCAAGGCTAAATTTTTTAAATACTGTAGAGCAACAAACAGTACTTTGTTTACTATCTTTGTAAAAAAGAAAGAAAAAAGCTAAAAGATACATTCTTCAAGAATCTCCCACCAATATCAGAGTTAATTTATTCAAACAATACATCAGGGAGTGTATATGTAATATTCAGAAATTTCAATGTGATATTTAGAAACGTTAGAACAGAAATAACCATTCTGCCGAAACAGAAAAGCATAAGTAGGCCAGGCTGAAACACCCATGCCTCATGGCGAGTTAAAACAAAGGCTCAAGCAACGCCATCGAGCGGGAGGTGGAAGCATTTTGAACTAGGCCCATACGAAACTAAATGTACTTTATCGAATTAATGTAGACACGATTCATGAAGTTAAGGGACAATTATAAAATTTAAAGATATTGTGGATAGTTTCCCAGTCTAAATATGTTACATGTGTCCTAAAGAAACTACTAGTAATACGCGAAAGATGATGTCATTGGGTGAAGGCAGGGGAGCGCCCTGAGGGATGCCGACGCTGACCGGCCCCAGTCAGCGCCGGTCATCGAAGTAGGCGGACGTTGTCCACGCGTCTCTGCCAAGGAAAGCGACCACATGGCCAAGTCCCTTCCCGCGCACGTTTCATCAGTGTTGCAAGTAAGTTTTTTATTCGATCTCAGACAGTGTTTAGATAGGACGGAGAAGAATTTAACAGTAGCTAACAGAGTGCTCCTTTTGCAGGGTTCCGAGAACCCACTCGGTTGGTCGGTGTTTAGTGGTCGGTTTGGAAGATATAGCTGGCAATGCATGAGGCGAACAGGTGATCCTGATGACTAACTATGTGGGATCAGCATCCGCACTTTGGTCGGTGGTCGATCTGGTTCATCAAATCTCCCCACCTTGGTTCATACAACACCACATCTCTAAAGTCAGTCAGTGAAAAATCTTACTAACGGGAAAGTGGAACCCCTCCCTCAGCTGGGCAGGGTTCACCTGGTTGTACTCTGAACTGGCCTAACTAGGTGGGCTGACGGTCACTCTCTTCCTGTCCATGAAGTACTGGGAGTAAACCGAGTGCAGACTGAGTGAATGAAAGGCCATACGCTGAGACCGGGAGTCTAGTGGTTACATAGAGACATTCATCTCCCCAGTATTGGGTGTATGTGATTGAATTAACCAAGTCCAGGTGTGTAATCAACGCTCCTTATGGTTGATTGCACACGTGGGACGTAGGAGTTCCTCTCCAAAAGTTTGTGAAAGGCTGTTAGTACCTTGAAAGTACGGGTGCATTCTGAACCTATGTGTGAAGCATGTTACGGGTGTTGGTGGAGAAATACACTCATGACTCCTGAAATCTAGAGTGAGTAAATAAAAAAACAGCAGAGCACCCGCCTGCCTGATGGGTCTTGAGTGATTTTCTCGGTTTCTTGTAAATGCCTGCCCCTTGGCAGGTTAGTAGTTACAACCTTCGGGTTCTGGGTAGTTGGGACAGTTAGGAAAATGGTATTTCGTGGGTCATCCCAGACAGGCTATGAGTGATCCATGTTCTTGTGTAGTATGACTAAAATTGGGATTTCTATTCCTCAGTGATTGCTATAAGTTTGTCGGATACCCTGAAGACATGTTCATTGGTGCAAGTAATATTTTTTAATGTTTTATATGCCACTAAGTGATGTAGGATGTACGAAGGAATTGTTCCAGATGAGTTCCTCGTTCTGGTGTCTGTTCTGGTGTATGTAGTACTGTGGTATTAGTAGTCCTCTTCAGATGCAATTACATGTAATATCTTTTAATAATTTTTTTGATACCATTTATAACTTTTGTTCCCCATTGTAGTGTTATAAGCCACGCTAAGAAGTACTCTAGTGCTTGTGTGCAATTATTGATTCTGTCTGTAGTGATGGAAGGAATAGAAGTGTCATCTTTTACCAGTGCGTCTCATTAACCCCAATCACAGGTACTAGCTTTCCACGGTCACGGAGAATACGTTTATTAATTGTGTTTGTGCTGGTTCGGGATTTTCTCTGAGGGGCGCTTCCACTGCATTACCATCCACTATAACTCAAAAAACCCCAATAACATGTAGTAAGATATTCTGACCGGTTACATATATAATGTGTGTAGTGGCTGGATTATTATTAGAGTGCACGACACTGAAATACTACCTTACTGAACACTGTGCCATAACCTTACTTTGTACTGCTGCAGTGACTTACTTTATTTCTGAAGTACTCTGGTGAGATGCTCTCCAAATGAAGCACTCTATCCTCCACAGCTTTTAACCTGGCATAAACATCTCGAGGTACAGGAGCTCCAGGGATTAGCTTAAGGTGATCCTCCAGACTATGCAAACGCTCCTCAACACCTGATAATTACAAGAAAATAGGAACATAGTGTCTACATACATTGAATCATAAGCTTGTCTTTCATCCACATTTTCACACCACTAGTTTTTTTTTTTGTATATCTACTTTAATGTACCTGGCCTCTTTGTAATTGTCCCTACACAAAAAATTTATTAATTTCTCATTACTTTCCACAGTGAACCAGAAATGCATCTACACTAAAATTCTCTTCCTCATGTATTTTTTTTTTTGCATTCATATGAGTAACCCAATCAAATGTTAAAAAAACTGTTTCCTTGTTATGTACATGCCACTCAATTTCTCTCTGATTCTCATTTCTCAAACACAGATTAAAAATTTCTTTATATACTATACAAGCAAGTAAAGGTTTCAATACTTTACCAATTTCTCACCTATGGGTAAGGTATTTGGCTCTTGGGTGTCCACAGCTTGTCTTTTATGTTTAGAGTTATTAAAAGTGTCCTTAACTGAGCAGCATCCTGGGTCTACTGAGCCTTCCCTGCTGCTGCCATTGCTGCTACTGTTTCTATGTTCTGAAACTGGTCAAATTTAAATCATAATACAGTACTAATAGTACTGCTACTAATACTGTAATAACAATGTTAATAATAATAGTACTGTAACAGCTGGTCATGTATTTCTAAAAAACATCGGTTCTTTTTAAAGGGAGAAAAAAATTCGCTAATGCTCAACATACTGTACAGATATGCTTAAACCCCAAAAATAAAGACAATTGTTAAGTACAGTTTTCTTATTATACCAGCAAGTTATGTAACTTACTGTATACCAGAGGCGTTGTGCAGGAAAAAGGTCAGGTTGCAAAAGAGCGTTCACATATGACTCTAGGTTTATGAGAGAGACAAATGTTCTTATTGTACCTTGTTTCAGTCCTTCATTTGTAGGAATATTGTTGGTGGAGAGCGAACCAGGGTCATATCCTAATGTCTGAGGTCCCCAGTCATTGACAACATGAGTCACTGTAAATAGTATGATGGATGTATCATTATACAGTATCTGCACATATCTGTTGATCATTATGTTTGACCCAGCAGTGCAGTAACTCCATACAAGCATAGGCAAAAATTATTGTATTAAGGATGATGCCTAAAAAGTTTACAATGATTAACATTACCAAAATTGTGATTCTAGTCACTCTAGTTGCTCTAACAAGTTACGACATGCTGTACCAGTAGGTGAGAATATTTTTCTGGTTTTCATAAGATTTTAAGAATATAACCCGAGTGAAAATTAAAGGGATCTTGAGAACCTTGAATTTCAACTGTAGACTTGATGACATAATAAATGGGTCACTTGATCCACTGCATCATTATGAAATACATTTGGGAAGAGACTTTTCAGTGTATTTTTCTTGAAAAAATTAGCCATTGAAAAGGCCAATTTTTCAAGTTGGCTAAAGTGAGACAGTTCTACAAGATGACATAGATAAAGAAGCTGTTTAAAAACTTACTTTTTAAATGACTGTTGGAGCCTTTAGATCTTAAGACAATTGCTGATGTTCGAGCACATGAACTGATTGATGAGGCTCCTCCTGACAACACGCAAAACTCTTGTACGTTAAGTACATCTAGTTCTTCACGTTTACGCTGTTGAAATGCTGCAATTCGTCGATCAAGCTAAGAAAGTAAATAATAATATTTGCAGAGACAGGAATTACACAAATATACTAAAGTCATGTATAAAATATACTGGACTAAGATGAAATATATATAAAAATACTGAGGCAAGAAATTTGTTTGTGAATTAAATATGGTGATGAAGGTCAATGCACTGGAGTGTAGAGGTAGAAGGGACTGTCGGTAAAAGTGGAATGACCTACTCGTCCTTTGTTGGTCAAATGTGGGAGTGGCATAAAAGTAAAATAAGAAAAATTGGTTCATATCGGTTTTTGATAAATATGTACTGTATAGAATTTACGAATTTCCAATGTACGTACTCAATGTTATGAACCAATATTTTCCTCGTGTTCCTCCTCATAAGGTTAAGTGATAAGGATTTGGAGGTGAAACATCTCAACATATCCAGCAAACCTTTATTTTTTAATTGTTGGGTCTTGTAGGGGGAACCATGTTGGTCAGTTAGTTGTAACAAAATAATATCCTTTTGAATCTTATAAAATTTGTGGATTTTTTTATTCTTTTTTAGCTTTATCTCCCTTGATAAAAATTTGTCACTATATCCTCACTTCCCAATCCACCATAACCTTGTGTGTTTGTTATCATTAAGCAGATCAGCTATAAGAGTAAACAACAGCTCTGAAGTATGAGTATCTCCCTTCCTCTGAAAAATGTCAGTTACCTGTTACTGAACAAATTATGCACTTTGTGTGTGAAATAATTATGAATTATGCAAATTACTGCAGTAGGTACAATTACTTTTTAGATACATTCATATTGACATCTAGGTTAAGGTATCCAGTGGTGGGCACGGTTCCGCTAATCTGCTAACTGCTAATTAGCGAAGCTAACTTTCTCGTTAGCGGATTAGCGTTATCGCTAACTTTGGAAACCATTAGTGGACCAATTAGCTTCCGCTAAATTTAGTTCCGCTAACTTTAAGTCCGCTAAAAAAATTTATACATGTTTGTTCCTGTCTGTTGTAAGCGTGTGACGCCGCGACGCGTGTCTCCAACAGCCAGTCAGGTACGCTTAGCTGACTGCGTGTTAGTACAGGTAGTTCTGCTATAACGCGATAATTGTGTTCTTGTAAAATATTGTGTTATAGAAAATCGCGTAATAGAAATAACAGGGCTTATGGAGAAAATAGGGTTAGGTGCAGATTACTCGAAATCGAAAAAATTTAGTAGTTAGCCTAACACAAAGGATAGCACAGTCTAAATAAATGTTACATTCATATCTAATAATGAAATCATACAGTAAATGTAACACTTTACTTGATGGGGGAGAAGGGTGATTTTGAGGTTGATAAAATCGAGCTTCTCTTCAAGTGTTATATCCTTTCTTTTACGATCATCACCGGGAATTCTATCACCAGAACGCTTCTTGTTGATATTCTTCTTTACTATATTCACAGTTAATACAGTGGGGTATGCTATAACGAACGGATCCTACTACGAATATTCCTATAACGAACAGTTTTACCTATAAAATTGAGAATGCAATAACGAACGAAACTCCTACAACGAACATTATTTAATTTTTTTTTTTTTCTAATTTATTGTTTTTTTATTACAAATATTAATGATATCTTTATTTCAGGGGTTTAGAAGCATATTTATGCACTTTTTTACAATGTTTACAATTTTATATTTTATTTTTCAGTGTTAAGTGGTTGTATTTGGGGGCCTGGAACAGATTAATCCTATAACGAACGAATGCTATAACGAACAAGGTTCTAGAACCAATTAGATTCGTTATAGCATACCCCACTGTACCACAAAATTGGAGAAATAGTAAGCAAAAATCGCGTTATAGCAAACAAGCGTTCGCGTTATACAAATATCGTTCCTAATTCATAAATCGCGTTAGAGCAAATTCGCGTTATCAAAACACGCGTTATAGCAGAACTCACTGTACGTGCAAAGATATCTTGAGGGCCAAGAGAGCCACCCTGTCAGATGGCAACTTTGAGAGGCTGATGTTTATGAAGGACAACCAGCATCACGTCGAGGCGATGGAGAAGGCCCAGCCACTGCAGCCGGAGTGAATGGAATTTTTCGATTACAGTATTAAAGTTTAATACTTTTTATTTTTACAGTAAATAAAGACTGTCAGTGTATGTATATTGAAAGAATCATAGAATGTAATTGTAAACTAATTTATAATTTCATTTCTCATTTATTTGTTAATTAATTAGGATTTTTTTGTGTCAATATATTTGGTTATGCTAAGTACTGCATAAGTTCATAACCAGGATGTCATCCAAGGTGTGCGCCAAATAAAATTTTCTAAAAACTTACGTTTCATTAAAGTTTTGAGTTTTCTGTTTATTTACATGACTAAGACCAACAATAAGTTATATAAAAATGCACTGGTATAATGACTAAGACAAACAATAAGTTATATAAAAATGCACTGGTATACAGTATAGTCTGGATTTACGTGGTTTTTGTTTACGCGTTTGGTCATTTACGCGGTGCCGTGCCAGAACGAAATGTTTTAATTATGCGGTAAATTTCATCATTTACGCGGGAAGCGGTGCAGGCAGGGTGCGCACAAGGTCGCCCAGTCATCAAAACATTACCGAGTTTTCACCCGCCACCCACCACAGCCGGCCCAAGTCAGTGATAGTGATAGTGAGGATATGGACTTATATGGACTTTGAGGGGTTTGACAAAGAGGCCCTGCAAGCCTCTGTGGTGGATAGTGATACAATTGATACAAGTGATACAGGTGAGGGCCAATAATCTGCCCTCTGTCTCGGACCAACCCCCATCCCCGTGTGCCCAGCCATCTTTTCTACTATTGTAAGTGTTAAAAACCTAATATTATTGATATTTCTCTTAAATATTAATTGTGTGTGCATACCATCATAAAATAAAGATGTTATTTTTACTACAATGTACGTATTATGTCGGAAAAAGTGGAGTTTGGGAGTCGGTCCAGTCTCTATTTCAATTAATCCCATATGTTCTGTTATTTCGTTTACGCGTTTCTCGGTTTACGCGGACCTGCACAGGTTCAATTGACCGCATAAATGCAGACTATACTGTAATGTGTATGTGGTTGGTATTGCATTTTTACATGAATAATGAATAAGGCCGATAGGTTGTATGAGAATGCAAATTAATTATTTGTGAAATTGTGTACAGTGTACACCTTGATAAGTTGATCATCATCTGATCTTGGCATGATGCTATTTGCTACCTATGCTATACAGTACTATAGTTTTGGATTTGTTTAATACTTTCTGTCTTTTCGTACAGTAAATAAAGATTATAAAGTGTATGCTGAAACTTGAATGTAAACTAATGTTTAATTTCTTGGCATGCTATACCTTTTTGGAAAGCTCTATGTCTAAGCTACAAGACAACATATGAAAATTTCAGCTCTCTAGGTCTGTTTTTAAGGGTTTTAGAGCCAAAAAAAAAGAAGAAGATAAATTCATATAATAAAAGTTAGCGGTTAGCGTTAGTTTCCACTAATTTTTTTTAGCTGTTTAGCGTTACCGAAGTTAACGTTTTAGTTAGCGGGTTAGCGAAGCTAACTTTTCGTTTAGCTGTGCCCACCACTGAAGTTATCAACTCTACAATACAGTACTGTGCTGTATTGTCTTTACATGGGAATTAGAAGTGTCCCTGTACTGAATACCTACAGTATAAGTAAACACTGAAGACTGCCCACTGCCACACAATACATGAAATGATACCCCACCTATTCTACACTGACTGTACTTTAAGAGTGTAAATTTGGCAAATACAAGATAATGAGTTTACTCAATTAACTGTATATTTGCCTTTCCAGAGTCTTCAATAAATGATCTGGCACTATGTACAGGTTTCATGATTGATTTGCTTGACTCATGATGCTAAAGTTTGTATTTCTTTGTCCAATGTTTACCGCTGAATACAAGAGGGTATGGTAATTACCAATAACAACTGAAAGATAGAAACTCTATAAATATATTAGTAGTGTTTAAAAAAAAAAAGATACATGAACTGAGTAAATAGATCTTGAATGATGACCTCTCTCTTGTAACTTCCTTTATCCTTTGTTAAGTCCCCTCACCTTTTGTTTTATACATTAAATAATTCAGTTATATTGTCTCAAACCTCAAACAACTTAACAATTAAATTTTTTATCACAAACAGATATTAAACAATCTCTTCAGTTACTTACCTCTTGCTTTGATGCAACAATCTGTACAAAGTTTGGGTCCACATCAAGTTTGGCTCTTGGTGTCTGTGTGAGTGGTTTCTCTTCTTGTGTTGATGTATTTTTCTCAGGTGCAGCTTCTGAAGACTTAACAGTGTTTACAGGAACCTCAGACTGACTGTCGGGATCAAGTTCTTCTTTAACCTTCTTTGTTGGTGGTTCATTTATGTCTCTGTTGTCATCATTCAAAGATCCTGAAAAAGATACAGTATACCATTACATGACTTGTACTGTATAATACTGTACCTCCTACGGTAGTTTGTGCTGTACCTGCTGGCTAAGAAAGCTTTTGCTGTACAGCAATTAGATAAGTTTCATTTGCATTAACCCTCTCAGCCTCGCATAAGGCCATTGTGGCGTCGAACATAGAAGGCGAAAACCTTATGCTTTGCCTCGTGACGCCAACACGTCCACCGTAGGGTCAAGACCTATTCAGGCGCTGCTCCTGCTACGCTGTTGCCCCCCTTGGCCAATGTCGGCCCATTCTCCAAGTCCGTCTCCCTGACCCATCCTCACCACCGGGATATCTACATAATCAAAAGTGACAATTTCGTTTCGGAAAGAAGTGGGATCAGTGTTGAACAGTGATGAACAGTGTTTAAGCCAGTGAATTCAGCACTAGACAGTACCAGTGAGAGCCGTGACCCACCAGTGAGATAAGCATCCCTGGGAACTAACCATCTTCTGACAAGGAAGTGCTAATCTGTCCACCCTGGGAATAACAGAGGGCCGGCCGGCTATGCACCTGACTATGGGATAACACAACATCACCGCGCAGCGAGGTACTGTGACACCACCCCACACCACACGGTGTCCCCATGACTACGTGAGGTCCTTCACATCAACACCCGAGGATGAGTTACTACACCACGTGAACACCACACCACCCGATGTCTCCATGACCACGTAAGGTCCTTCATATCAACACCCGAGGATGAGTTACCACACCACGTGAACACCACACCACCCGATGTCTCCATGACCACGTGAGGTCCCTCATATCAACATCCGAGGACGAGTTACCACACCGCATGAACACCACACCACCCGACGTCTCCATGACCAGCCCATGCCCGGGCCATCAACTGTAAACTATAATAATTTGTATGTTCAATCATTGTTCCTTCTTCTTTCAGTAATGAAAGCTTTTGTTAAACGACCCACCCACCCCATGTTTTTGTATGTAATAAGTCATTTTTGTCTAATGTATATTTTCAGCCTTTTGGCTGCCGACTTTTTCAATAAACCGTTAATTATTATTATTGTTATATTTTCAAATAACTCAAAACTATTCAGTGAAACTGACTGAACTTTGTACACCATATGACTGACGTCGTTTTCTTTGTGTGGACCTCATCAACTTCTCCGTGACGGTCTTGGTCATCGTGTGCGTGGCAGCGCAGCATGAAGCCAGTGTCGCTCTAGCCATTAGAGTGAGAGGAGGGTGCGCTGCTCGGCCCTTTAATTATTCCATGAGTTTTTGTTATATTATTTTTCCTTATACCACAATATTCTACATGCTCTGTTCTTTATTTTGGAATAAAGTACATATCAATGAACACCATAATACAAGGAAAATATGAATGGAAATCAAGATGTTACTGAACATTTTCCTACTTTTTCAACTTATACTAAAAAAAAAAGTGGCTTAAATTTCAAGAATTTTAAATTTTTTATTGTTTCATACAATTTTACACTAGAAGAGACCCCATTACAATTAATAAAATAATTCCATGGCAGTAAAATGAGCCCTAAAAAAAATATATTTTTCAACGATTTTTGGGCAAAAACCTCCGAGGCTGAGCGTGAGTTTTCATGCACATATGTGTCTCAGGCTCCAAGTCTGAGAGGGTTAATTAGTACAGGAGAATGATAAAGTCATGAAACACACAGTAGTGTAATATCTACAGTGCTCAGGGAATAATGTTGTGTGTAATGTCTTTGAGGTAAATATAAAATATACATACTGTACTGTACTCATAGCGCTTTATTTGATGAGACGGCTATGTTTTGTTAAGACTTAATTAACTACTGTAAAGGACAGTATCGTTAAATATATTGTTTACAATACCTGTACTTTACTAGTAAAATAAGTTATTGAAATAAATTTAATTAGCCCTGGCATAAAGCCTTGCCCATTTTTTTTTTTAGCAACTCTTATTTCTGCATATGCCTGATTGAACCTTACCCACAATGTCAGAGAGATTAGAAGCAATGGTTGCCCACAGGAGAAGAAATGTTTAATTATAGCCGAGCTGCTTAGTTACTGGTAGTTCCTCAAACGACCAGTATGGGCTGCCATCGTTGATTTTAAAGGCAACATGCCAATTTTATTTTGTTCCCAGTTGACAATGGTTTCACTCCCCCCGTCATTCAGTACTTGACAAAAACTAAAATTCTTTCCATATGAGACACTACTGTTGCATTACGTGTTATTTGGTCTTACATCGTGTTTTTTATTTACTCATAAGGTTTGTTTATTAGTTAAACCTTCACCAAGTCCAAGATGGTGTACTGGATGTAGCCAGCATAAACTCAGACATCTGTGAGACTGAGTAACAGACATTACCATGGCAACCTTACATTATTAATGACCAGGATTATACACTGTACTTACAGGATAGGATGTTAACACAAGAAAGCAACTCAAATCCATTCACACCCAGCGAACTATCTTTTGCCTCTTCATTAGATTCTGCACTCAGTAAGTCTAACATGTGGATGATGCATTAAATTTATAATGTTACTATATTCTGTCGCATGTATACTGATGTTATAAAGAGTCCTAAATAAATGAGGTGTGATCTCCTTGTTAATAAAAAAAACTTTACATGAACAGTTTTCATTACTAGTGGACTGTATAGCATTTACAGGACAAATATAATTATTATCGGTAGTTTAGTGTGGTGTGTGTGTGTGTGTGTGCTTCTAAAATCTGAGCTGTAGTTCAGTTTGATGATGGTGGAGATGAATGTAAGTGACGAGCCTGTAGGTTAAGTGGACTCCATCTACTGGGTTTGTTGGTGAACTTGATTACATTTCTGGATGTTCTTAGCCAATGGAGGTGAGGGGTATGAGAATCAATTTTCCTTGACATGTCAATATTGTTTTGATGTGTTATCCTAAACAGTTGTTTGTTTGCTTCACCTCGCAGGCTTGGGATTCATGTAGTCTAGCATCAACACCTTTAACCTATCAATAAGTCTACTGATTTGTTCTACTTTTGTCTATCTTTTTATTTATAAATATTTGACAGAACTCCAAAGTACAACTGTTACTTCTGTAAGCTGGATAATAAGTTAATGTGTAGGGGGTAGTGAATACAAATGTGATGGCATTATGAATTTATTAAGGACAGCACAACAATTAACAGGAGTCAGTAATGCTGCCTAGCAGTGTAAGGTATTAATTATGAATATATTAAGTAAATAAACAGCACTGCAGTTAACAAGCTTCATTGAAGATGCATAGCTGATTGTATGGCATTATGTAATTAGTAAGTTCCATATAGGATAGCAGTGAACATGTACAGTAGCTAAAACAACTACATGTATTTGTACATACATTGTGGGAAACAATATGAGACCATGGACAATAAATTTTGGTATATAAGGGCTGTCACTAGTCGCACGTAAAATTTCGGAGTATATCGACCCCCACCTGCACAGATACGGTAGTTGTTTTAGCGACTGTACATGCCTCATACATAATGCACAGCTCAATATTTCTGAATGACCTAGGTAGGTAGATGGCTGTATCAGCAGCAGATGGTGATATCGTTAACTGACCTATAAACTAAACTCTAACCACATTTTACATCCTGTTTAAAAATTTATTGAGGTTTAGTGGCTGAGTGAGTCATGCTGCAACATCTGCAAATTAAAAGTAACTTTTTTTCAGTATTTAACAGTCCATTTTTTTTTCAGGGGGAAACCTAATGTTCATCAGAAAAAATTACATAACACTGAACATGATGGTGAGTTTGCTGATGTGGCAAAAAGATTACCTTAGCCACAAGTACTTGATCAACGCCTATGAATTGTAATTCATGCACAAATAAGTAAGAGTTTAGTAGATTGGTTAGTTCTACTCATCAATTTGTCAAAATCCTTGAGCCTCATGTAATTTTATGGAGTTTCCTTTTCCTCAATTATGTTTCATCGAGTCAAATATTACTGATAAAAATGCACAGTTTTGTTGCTTATAATAAGTTGTAGCTACCAATACAGAAACACAATTATGTCCTAAAGAAATTTTCCATCTTATATCTGCCATCTGATGAAGCTTTAATTATTAATCTGCTGCTTAGTTAATAATGTCACTGGATGAAATGTTAAAATTTTATAACTATCATCATTAGCCTGTATCAAATCATTGCTGGATGAAGCTCTCCCTCATAAGCTTCTACAGCACACTATTTTGAGTCTCCCATCCATTATCTGCAGTCAACAATCAAAAATTTATTAAACTATGTGATATCATTCAGCATAAACAAAGATCATCCTGCCAAACAACCAAAATCTGAGAGCCATTCAATAGTTCAAATGAGATCTAACAAATGGCTGTTGTATAGAGTTTATTTAAATTTCTTGTTCAACTCTGTAGATCATCAGGCCGTTGCTCTCACAGCTTTACCATCACGGTCGTTAGTGAGATGGTCGTTTCTTGAAATTATGTGAACTGTGATACAGTGTTATCTCACTGATCTGTGAAGTTATGTAGTTTGTAGTCATTAGTTGTCCCACAGCTTCTAGTCACTCTTTATCTTTTGCTAGAGGCCTTAGACTGTGTAAAATGAGATGCCATGTAAGGAGCAGGTACTGTATGCAAATGTACAGAGCATCCTGTCACCATTCAGCTTGCATGCCACTATATGAAGTATATGTGTCAATGCTTTCTACAAGTAACTAACAGTCCTAGTATGTAGAACACAATCATTAGGGTCACACAAGTTAAACATGGCCACCAACTGAACTTCTCTGATGCTGTTACAGACTTAGGAAGACATATACAATCATCATTCACAAAAATGGCAATACGGACACATGGTTTATGAGGAAACAGTTGAACAGTCTTTGTTATGATCATTATGGCTGTTGAACTTGGTGCTGTGAGTAAAGGACTCAAGGTACAGTCACGGAAAAAATCCTGTCAGTCCTCCTTCGTAACCACGAACCTGTAAACCCGAGACATC